TGCAATGCACTTCACTTCACAATAAACACGTCCGCTCAGTTCGACCGCTCGCACGAGAATGATCCCAGGAACCCATCTCCTGGAGTTGACAAACATGATACCTGGGCGTGACGATGGACCAGCGTCTCACGTGGAAACCGCACATCGTATAGACGGAGAAACCCCCGGGGTTTACACAGACGAGCCGGCGAAGCAAGAAGAGCGCCAGAAGAAAGGTACCTAGCCGGCGGGGCCCAGTCAGGACAAAAGGAGGTCCCACAAAGCGCCTACACCGGCCGCATTGGATGGGGCCCACCTACGAAGGCTGTCCAGGCCTACACGAGATGAGGCAGGATAAAGAGGGATAATCCCCCTTGATCCCAAATCATTGAGGCCAATTTCTAGCCATGGAATAATGGCGTCTTTCAACGCAATTAATCGTTGTCCACGGTTGTACCAGAGTTTACAGCTTTTAAAAAATAAAATAAATGTACCAATACGCTCATAAAAATGTAATTTTAAATCTTTTACAATTACAAATCTTGTATTTATAAGTTCATCGTGTTGGTTTCATCTGCTTTGCCCTTACTAACTTTATCTCTCTTGCGACTGATCTTTCTTTCTAGGACAGGATCATGGAGACTGTACTATATCTAGTCTCCATGGACAGGATACTCTTGATGCTATCCATAGACCTAATAAACTATAAAGTCATCTGGTCTATTATTCTATGAAATAACATAACCTAATCTAATAACCTCTAAAGAGCAAACTGAATAACTTTAAAATTGGTTTACAGCTTGTTGGAAATAGATGTAAATTCAAGTAAAATGTCAAATATAAGAAAAACAATAATTTCAAATTGTGAAAAAAGTTTTTTAAATAAAAATCTTTGTGAATCTCTCGTAAGCAATGTAACTTAATATATAAATACAGAAATTACTGATTTCTAAATTTTTAGAGATTGGATGGGAGGTCCTTTGATGAATTTAGAGAAACTGAAATCGAATTTGGTAAAGATTGGGGTTGTTGTTATGTATCGTTAGGGAAAACAAGGTGTGTATGCATTTCTATTGGATAAGTTACGATGTGTAACGTGTGCAAATACAGATACACTAATGTTTTTCAATTTTTGACACAATTCAATAACCTCTCTGTAAGGGTAAATGTAGGAAACAAGAAGGGTTGCCCAATGTCTGGTTTTTTCGCAAGAATCTTTGACTTTTTATAAAAATCTGGGCCAAATTTTCTTGAAAATGCTTTAATACAACTGTTTATTTAAAAATCGTTTTTTGTTTACATTTTCCAAGAGAAGGTTCCAAACGTCCCTTATATAAAATTATAACCGATAAATAATTTTAAGTTCTGTTTTAAAATAAGAATCCTAACAACACACTACACACTGCTGTATACTGGGACACTGTATTAATTGTAAAAACTGGGAACTTATTACCACTAGCTATTTTATAGTGTTGCGATGTTGTATATCTACATTAAACAATTACTTTTATAGCAGATTTGCAAAATAAAAAATGTAAGATTTTACTGTGAAATTTTTTAAATTTTTGTATTCATGTTGACAATAAATGTTGGAACTGGCTATGTTCTCAGCTGTTAAAAAGTAGTTAATAATTTATAACGTCATCTTTGGCTTTAATAGTCGTGGGAATACTTGCAACCATAGTATTTATGAAAGATTGCGAAGGTTCTAGTATAAAATTATCTTTGGTTTTGCAGTTTTGTGCGTAACAAATATTAGGGAATAGAAAAAAAATGTTTTATTTTGTGCATAAGGGTTTTGCCATACTGACATAACGTCAACTGTCGTAACTGACAGGCCATACTCAAGTAAGATGATATGTCTCATTAAAAATTGGCTATAGTTTTATTGCATATTTACGTTTGATTCTGCATCATTGGTTCCACTTCTTTAGTTTTGTTAATCAACTCATTTAATACAAATCCTTGCACAGTAACATTTGTGTAAACAAATTGAATAGTTAAGGAAAATAGTACACTTCTAAGCACAGATTCCTGTGGCACTCGTGCACTGCGAGTGAGACAAGTTGATCTAGAATTATTCTGTTACATATTATTTACCTGAGCAATGGTAGACGACGTTAATCAGAAAAGTTTTGTAATTGTCTCCGTTTACTAAAAAAATTAAATGCTATGATGTAGGGTTTTTTTACATGGCTTGATAGATCATTTATTAAGGGAAACAAATTCACAAACTGAGGGCGATATTTTTTTCATGTTCAAGTTATTGCTTAAATAGTGAAGTTGTGCTAGAACATTTTCCTTTATTTAGTTCTCTAAATAATATTGACATAGTCCAAGCCAAAATTAAATTATACCAAAACTATACTAAGCTTGTCCTTAAAAAAGTACTTCCTTTATTTTGAAATTTTTTTATAGCTATAGTTTTTAATTTTTTTATTAATTCCAAATACCTGAGTATAAAAATTATTGTTTCCACAACGAGGCAGACTATGCCCTATGAAAATAGACAACTGAAAAATTATGTCAAACGAAATGTGATAGCTTTTGCTACGTGCTAAAGTAGTATTAGTTGTGCGAAAATCGTTAAAAAAATGCATTTTTTTTATCGGACATTAGGGATTTCCCTCACCGTTTCTGTCATATAATATACGTGAATAGGAAACATTTCTGACAAAAATTCAATTCTATGATTTGATATATAGATCGTCTTGGAGGTTCATATTTGTAACTTCAATAGTTTATGAGATATAAACTGTCAAAGATTGAATAATATGAAGAGAAAATTAATTTTTTATAAACAAATTTATGTAACAAACAATCTATAATAGTTCCAGTGTTGGTCAAAAGCTCATTTGAAAGATCAATTAATATTCTACAAAATTGTCTTGAATGTTCATAACTGTATCTTTAATAGTTTAAAAGTTACAGCTGTTTATAAGTAAACAAATCACATGGCTGCTTTGACTTCCGTAGAATAACTAAAAAATTCTATAAAAAATCAAAAGAAAATTTTTAGCAAAAATTATATATGGTTGGTTTCGTTATTTTTTCTCTAACTAAAAAAAAATGACAGCTCTTTTGACGATTGTTTCTAACAAATTAAGTAAATAAACAAAAATTTTCAACAAAAAAATATTTTTTTTGTAATCTGGAGAATTGCAAATTATAAATTTAGAGAAAAAAAAGAATTCTTAATATATTATTTAAACAATCATAAAATAAAAAAAAAACGATTATAAGTAATTAAAATGTCTTAAAGATTTTTTTTTATCATAATATACTCTAAATAATGAAATGCAAAAAAAATAAAATTTTTTCAAAAGTATGTCATTGCATTTGTTTATAACAATTATTTTTACAAAAGTGCTGAAAATTTTGTAGCTAATGTTTTTTAGTGTCACTTTCTGACATAAAAATAGTGCCAACATTATTTTCCCTTAAAAAACATATTTTGACCACTTTTTTTTCATTTTTAATTTTTTGTAAACTAAGAAAAAAATACATAAATAAATAAAATAAAGTATAGTTGTCGAGAGGTCTCCATGAAACAAAATAATTTTAGCACCTTTTTCTTAAATCCGACATTGAATGTTAATGTCATAATTTTTTTTAAGGGGTATGATGATTCAAATGAAATTATATGTGCTGCAATTTGTGTAGAAGTAATTTTTGGGAAAACTACTAGGATTTTTTTTTATTAAAAATAAAACTCATAAATTTAGGCAGAACCTAATATTTTCACAATTTTAAGTTTATAAGCAGACTATTGTCAGCAGTTGTAATCACCATTGTCTAATTTTTCGTTCTCAGTCATGCCTTCTGGATTTTTAAACTGAAACGAAAAGTCGAAAATTTTAAGTCTATGTAAGATAGATATGTTGCATTATAAATTGATATGATTTGAAATAGATGGGTGTTTTGGTAATGATGAACATTTCTAACGTGATTTTTCTGAAAATAATTTCTAGAAAAAAATTGCAGCATGCCATTTGGATCATTGTAATTGGTTCAATAAATATATCTCAAAGATTATATATTTAAAAAGTTATTCAAATTATGTCTCAAAAAATGTTTAGTGAGGTTTTCTGATTCTTAGTGGGCTATAATATGTATAATGTTGATATAAATTTTATGTGAAAATTGTTTTAGGGTATTGGCTCAAGTTTCATGTGAAATACATGAACCAAAAACATCTAGACCAAGTGAAGGAATTTTAAATATAAATATTGAATTAAATCCCATTGCTGCACCCCATTTTGAAGCTGGTAGACAATGTGACTTATCTATTCAGTTAAATAGGCTTTTAGAAAAATGTTTGAAAGATTCTAAAGCTGTAGATCTTGAATCACTGTGTATAAAAATGAATGAAAAGGTAGTTACATCTTATAATATGTAATTACCTAGAAAATTAAAATTAAAGGGTTTTATATATAGTGTGTCTGTTTCAAATGGACTCAAAACTGCAACATCTTTATTTTTTGAGACTATAAAAAAATTGCATGATCATTTTTATTTCCAAAATTTGAGAAGGGAAATCAAATTAGCAATTTTGTAATGAAGAAAATATGTTCTGCTGTTTTAAAATATTATTTTACTCTTTAATTTCTGCAAAAAGTTAATTTAATTGATCCTTAAACAATATTATTAATTATTGCAATACATTAATCGTATGCCTTATTTTTTGTAGAAAATTATTGTTTTTAACAAATTTTAATGTAGTTACGTTTTTATTGCGTTCAGAAATGTAGATGTGTTTAAATAGATATTTGCATTTTTTTATGAAAAAAACAATATTTATGTAAAAAACATTATTTCAATAAGCTTATTATTAAAAAATACATAAAAAATATGTTTGTAAAAATTACAAAAGTAACTAAGTGTTACTCATTGTTGGAGCTTTGATCTGTTTCTTGGGACCGAAAAATTGTAATACGTCCTAAGAATGATGTCCTAAATTGTTGTAAATTTATTTGTACTCAACCAATATTCAAAAGTTCTTTTGTTGGCAATTGTTTTGGAAAAGAGATTGCATGTTGAGTTGTTACAATTAAATGTGGTGGCAAATAAAATGACGTTACTGTTTGGTTCACAAGTATATATAAAAAAAACTATAGGCTCCAAAATTGGTCCTTGAGGCACCCCAGTAATAATTATACACACAACACACCGAGTTCACAGCATGCACTTTATCAGAATAATTTATAAGATAGAATTAAAACGTAACTTAAATATTTCGCAAGGAAAGATGCAATTTGTTAGTGCCGAAAGAACATATAGCCGCTTACATACACGTTGATAGATCGTTTATTAGAGCACAATGACATAAGCACTCTTACTGTTATTGCACTAAACTGCAAATTATTTTTGTCAGTACTAATATTACTAACATGTTTCTTATTGAAACTAGACTTTCTGTTCCTGTTCCATTAAATTCTTAGAATATACAGGCTGTTACAAATTCGCTTCTCACTACAGGGATCTCAGAAACGGTAAGAGGTACGAAGTAGCTTAAATGGGGGCAAATTTGTGTAATCAGGGAACCAACATTATGCCTCTAAAAAATCGAGGCTAACATGATTAGTTTTCGAAATATTTGAATAAAACCGAAATTTTGGAAATCCGTTTTTGTTTCATTTCAGCCTTGTTTGAGGTGATATTGAAAAAAAAGGACACTTTCTCATGGCCACTTTTTGCCCTCTATCGAATGGCATAATCGATTTTTATATCTAACGTTTCGTCTCTTCAGGACCATCGTCAACTTCATTTTTTTAAATACGACCCTGGAAATTTTATTTATTTATTTTTTGCAAACCTTCTTGACCTCCAATACTTACTGCCTCAACCACTACCAGATTCAGATGTTTTGTCTTGAAAAATTCATCTTCAGTGTATTCGTTACCTAATAATTGTTCGTAAAACCTTTTGTAATACATATTTTGAAACTTTCAGAATGGATCTCAGCAAAATAAATATTATCTGACATTTTTTGCCATTCAAATTTTCTATAAAAAGTTACTAATATCGTTTCTCAAATATAAGCCAATAAATAAAGGTTTTGTTTAGATACTAGTAACAAACGGACTGTGCCATCATATAAAAGACAGTCTGTAAATATATGCTTATATATTTCCTTCTCCAATTTACAATTATTAATTCTTTATTATAAACATTTGTATGCAAAAAACGCATACTCAAAGTTTGTATTTTGCTTATACAACCTAAACTAACGTAACGAAGCAATCTGAATGCTATAAAGAGACAATTTGTAGAGAATCGAAATACGAAAGTCGATCATGCCGATTGGATAATTAGAAACGAAGAAAACCGAAAAATCTGAAAATTTTGCATTTTTAACAAACTGACTGCACAAAAGTAGTATATGTGCACGTATTAAGTGTGCACAAAGCAGGCGCTATTGGACCATTAGTTTTGGCACAATTACAATTTTAATTTTTTGGTGGACTATTTTCCAAAATTTCAGGATGAATTGAAGGTGGTCCGATTTTAATTTTTCAGTCAGATTTTAAAAGTATAAGTAACGGGTTATCCATTTTCTCCTTGGGAAAGTAAAGTTTAAAAAAACACACTGAATATTTAAATTTCAATGGAACTTTTATTTCATAATAATGTTTGGACTATGCCATTATGCGTGAAAAACAATATCATTCAAATGTCCTCCACGGAACCGTTTGCAGGACTCAATCTTTTTGAGGTAATTTTCGAAGACTTTTTCACACAATTCGGGCAATAATTCGGCCATAACTTGATATATCGCGTCCTTCAATTACTCCAAAGTTGTGGGATTGTTCACATAACCACGGTCTTTCGCATAGCCCCACAAAGAGAAATCCAAAGGCGTTAAATCATAGGATTTTGGTGGCCAAGCCACATCGCCGAATCTCGAAATTAAGCGTCCTGAGAATTTCTCGCGCAATAGAGCCATAATTGGCCGCGTTGTGTGACATGTGGCCCCATTTTGTTGAAACCACATATCGTCCAGATCAAAATTTTCAATTTCAGGCTAAAAAAAGTCGATGATCATGGCGCCACAATGTACCGTATGACAAGCCCAAATGCTGAGCTCGACTTGAAGTCGAAACATTCGGGTCATCGTTAACATATTCACAATGGCTTGAACGGGCAAACTGATGATGCACAGGTCTTACGATGTCTGTTACCGATTCAGTCTATTGGAATTTCCTCACTGTATTGGTGGTTGTTTGCTGGGATTGACGATTATGTCAATCATAATCTCCGCGTAATGCGCAAAATGCAGCCACCGAAGATCCACCATTTTCGTAGCATAATTTAATAATTTTAACGCGTTGTTCGGTCGTAAAACGTTCCAAATTGTGGAATGGCAAACCTTTAACTAAACAAATACCAGTCTGGATGATAGTGACATTTGACAAATATCAATTGGCTATTACAAAATGTATATTCTAATTTTCCAATAAAATGATGAGAAATAGGTGAAAAATTCTTCCAAACATGCTCAAATATGGCGCGTACGCGGTCGAGTAGTGGAGGAAGCTCAGGCGATGAGTGGCAGATTGCTTCGTTAGTTTAGGTTTTATAAGCAAAAAACTCTATGCAAAAAAAAACATTTTTTTATAAAAAAAATATTTTGTTTATAAAAAAATAATTAATGGTAAATACAGCAGGAAACAGCATATATAGCATATATTTACAGACTGTCTTTTATATGATGGCACAAATGCTACTAGCATTTTGTCACAAAATCATTGATTTAATGCTCTATTGGTTGGCCTAATAATAGTAATGCACTAATGTCTGTTTGAAGACACATAAGTAGCTAATTCTTTCTAATGTCATATTGTTTGTGAAAATGTGAATTTACAAGTAAAACAAAAAATATTTTAATATTCATAACCTATCATAAAGAAAACAGGGATACCTTGTCTTAAATTTTGGAAAATAATTAGATAATCATGTGTTTCTTAAAAGCTATGATGTAGTTCTGAGTAAAGATCAAGCTATTTTATTAATTACATATTGACTTCTTACTTCTGTGTAAATTAGATTCCATTAAGTAAAAACTAAAAATGTTTCCTTTTTTCAATTTCGTCCATGGATACATTGTATATATTGTTTCATAATTTCATTACTGGTCCTATCATCTGTATACACTTATTACATAATTATCTACCTCTGTAGGTCTGGATGTTAAAAGTAGATATTAATGTACTTAACCACGAGGGAAATATTTTAGATTGTGCATCTATTGCTGCACTTTCTGCATTAACACATTTTAGAAGACCTGATGTAACTTGTGACGGAGAGGAGTTTATTATACATAACTATAAACAGAGAGATCCTATTCCAATAGTTATTCATCATTATCCTATTTGTGTTACATATTCAATATTTAATGGAGGGCAAGTAAAAACTATGATAATTAATAGACGATAAAATGTAAAAGTCATATTTTAGAACCATTATAGTAGCAGATCCAAATCTTTTAGAAGAAGGTGCCGCTGATGGTTTTTTGTCTGTTGGTTTAAATACTTACAAAGAATTATGTGGCCTTCATCTGGGAGGAAAAGTGGATTTAAGTATAGATGTCATTTTAGATGCGACAAATAAAGCTGCTGCCAGAGCAGATTTTCTTGTTCACTTAATTAAAGATGCTGTAGAAAAGGATAACATCTTAAGGTAATAAATTCACATTTATTTCAAGAGCAAAAAACTAATAGTTATTTTATATTAGGTACAACTAAACTTTTTCATAGTTCGCTATATTAATATAAATTAACAAATATTCGGTCATCCGGATTTTGGTGCCCATTTTGTAGTTAAACAACTCTTTAATTAATACCATAGCATTATTCATTGGGTATATTTTTGTATGTTTTAACTTGAAACTTTCAATATCTTGAGAAATAAGCACTTGCTTATTGGAAAATATATATTGGAAAAAAAATGGCAATCTTAAAAATTTAACGTTTTATGTTATTTTGATCTTCATGTTTTTTGTGACTGCAAAAAACACAAAATATGTTCCTAATTACACTAAAAGTACCAGTTTATTAACTAGCGATTTACTATTTACATATCTAAAGGTAACAATTTCAGTTATTTGAATTTGCAAAACTTTTTTGGTGACGAATTTTGAGTTTTTACTAAAAACGTGGTATTTTTTTTATTGCAAACACATTGCAGAATCAGGTATTATAGGGGTCTCAGGATAGAGAAAAGTTGATTTTGTTGATTACAAAAATTTCTCAAACAAATCCGTTTTAGCCGTAGAATTCGAATCTACAATAAAAAATGCCTATTTAAGATTTCAAAACAAAGTAAAATACATCATATATATGTTTACTATGATTTTTGATTTGCATATTATGGCTTTCCTATTTCATATTAATATTATAGGGTCTATCTAAATAGACCGAAAAAATGTAAGGGCCGCCCTCTGAGGAAAATTAATAGGGGTCTTTGGTATCAAATTTTTTGAAAAAACTCCTGAAAAGTTACACCCCAAACAATTATTTTTCTTTTTTATGTTCCATGTACATCAAGCTAAAGAAACCAAACTTGGTGAACATTATCTGTCAAAAAAACTAGTTTTTGAAATTTTTTCAACACTGAAGTATTTTTGTAAGGGGTTGAAATAATCAAGTCCTGTGACATTTTTTCATATATTTTTTTTCGATTCCTTTTAAAAAATATTCTTTTAATAACTTTTCGATCTCCAAGTTTTTTGGAAAAGTTAAGGATTTTTGCGAAAAATAAATGTATTGCAATGCATTTTTAAAAAGATGATCTGTTTAACGCGAGTGTATTTTGCCGAAAGATCTAGTGGCCTGTTCTTTGCAATGGATTCCATAGAAACAAACGTCAATGTCATTTATTGTTACTGTTTCTTACTCTTTCACAAGTTTTATGATAATATTAGTTGATAAACCGATAATATGGTTAACTATTCCAATTTAGAAATGGCAGATATGTATTTTACATATAGGTATGCTAACAGTAATGCATTGGAAGCACAAAGACTTTATGCTATCTAGACGTACCCCATCATACTACGTTCACAAATATTCACCAACGCTTGTGGGGACTTGGGAAATTTGAAAAGAGAAGTCATGACTGTGGCCGTAACTGAGAAGTTAGAACTGAAGCTGTCGATGAAGCCGTATTTAATTGAAGAATCCCCTGAAACTAGTACCAGGAAACCGGTGTGAAAACAGCAGCCAAAGATAGCTGTCACATCCTACAAACTTACCCGAACGGCCATAGACGTACATATCAAGAGGTGAGAGAGATATGAACATGGCACATGTGCATAATTTCCTTATCCATTTAGTGATCTTGTTGTTCGTGCTATAGAACTAATTAGTTTCATTAAAACATAAAATTTGAAAGTAAATTAAAAACGGTATGAATGCTATAAATACCGAAATAAAGAAAAAATATTACAAAAGTACAGTGACAACATTCTCATTTTATATGTATACTAAATGTATAAATTAGTATTTAGAACAATTGAAATTTGGAACTTTTTATAAAATATGTGTGTTTGTATATGTTTATTCATTTAGCAACCTACTATAAAGGAAGGTAAGTGGATAATCGCTTAAATTAAATTAAGACAAGGACAATGGACAAGGACACTGGACAAGGACAATGCACAAGGACGATAATAATAATAATAGTCAAAGGACAAAGACATTGGGCAAGGACATCAAGTACACTGGACAAGAACATTGGACAAGGACAATGGATAATGGGCAAGGACAATGGACAAGGACACTGGATGAGGACAATGGACAAGCACAATGGACAAGGACACTGGACAATGGACATGGACGAGGACAATAGATAATTGACAAAGACAATGGACAAGGACAATGAACAAGGGCAATGGACACGGACAGCAAGGACAATGGACAAGGGATAATGGACAGGGACAATGGACAAGGATAATAGATAATCGACAAGGACAATGGACAATGAACAAGGACACTGGACAAGGACAATGGACAGGGATAATGGATAATCAATAAGGACAATGGGCAAGGACACTGGGCAAGGACAATGGGCAAGGACAATGGACAAGGACAATGGACAAGGACACTGGGAAAGGACAACGGGCAAGGACAATGACACTGGATAAGGACAATGGATAGGGACAATGGGCAAGGACAATGGACAAAGACATTGGACAAGGACACTGGACAAGGACATTGGATAAGGATAATAGACAAGGACAGTGGACAAAGACACTGGACAAGGACCATAATAGTCAAGGACAGTGGAGAACAACACTGGACAAGGACAGTGGACAAGGACATTGGGCAAGGACAACGAACAAGGTCAATGGACAATACAATAAACAAGGACATTGGGCAAGCACAATGAACAAGGACATTGGGCAAGGACAATAAACAAGGACACTGGAGAAAGACACTGGACAAGGACCATAATAGTCAAGGACAGTGGACAACAACACTGGACAAGGACAGTGGACAAGGACATTGGGCAAGGACAACGAACAACGTCAATGGACAAGGACAACAAGGACACTGGACAAGGACAATGGATAATGGGCAAGGACAATGTTCAAGGACATTGGACAAGGACAACAAGGACACTGGACAAGGACATTGGACAAGGAAAATGGACAAGGGCGATGGACAAGGACAATAAGCAAGGACAAGGACAATGGACAAGGACATTGGACAATGGACAAAGACAATGGACATGGACGAGGACAATGGATAATTGACAAGGACAATGGACAAGAACAATGAACAAGGGCAATGGACAAGGACAGCAAAAAACTTGAAGAGATCAGTTAGTGGTTTACACGAACCAGGAAAAGGCCGAGGCTTTCGCCGATAGCCTGGAACTGCAGTGTAGACTGCCTCAGCTGCCGGACGAAGACGAGGAATTCGATATAGTGGCTGAGCGCGCGGCCCGACGCGTCGACAGAGAGCCAGACAATGACATAATCCCCCCCGCAACTCCTGACAAACTAAGACTGACAATACGCAGACTTAAAAACAGAAAAGCCCCCGGACCCGACAATATACATAACACGACACTTAAACGACTACCACACAAGGGCCTCATGGCCCTACTAAACATAACAAACGCGACACTCAGACTAAGACACTTCCCTACCCGCTGGAAAACAGCAAACATAATCCTTATCCCAAAACCTAACAAAGATCACACCATCCCATCCAACTACCGGCCCATTAGCCTGCTCCCGGCTATGAGCAAAGTGGTAGAAAAAATTATCCTAACCCGTCTAAGAACCCACTCCCAAGAACTGCAAGTCATTCCAGACGAGCAGTTCGCCTTCCAACCCAATCACTCCACTGAACTCCAAATCCTTCGCCTTACCGAGCACATCACGGCGGCCTTCAACAGGGGACAGTACACTGGTGCTGTCTTCCTGAACGTCGCAAAGGCCTTCGATACGGTTTGGCATGAAGGCCTACTGATGAAAATGCTCACCAACCAATATCCCATATCATTTACCAAACTCATAAAATCCTACCTACACCACCGAAAATTCCGCATCCAAATCCAAGATTCCCTTTCCACCACCCGTCCCATGGAGGCCGGTGTCCCCCAGGGCACCGTCGTGTCCCCACACTTATACACCATTTACAACTCCGACATCCCACATCCCCCCAACACCAACATATACTTATACGCCGACGACCTGACAATCACATCCCAATCCGTTGATCCTAGATATTCCGTCTCCCTCCTCCAAAACTCCTTAGACCAACTTGAAACCTGGTGCAACAGGTGGAAAGTTAAAATTAATCCTAACAAAAGTTCGGCTATCCTTTTTACCAAACGAAAAATCCCACCTTAGCAAAGCGCATCCCAGGCTGCATAGCCGCACTGCCCTACCCAACCATACCACACATAAATATGACACAACCCCCGGGGTTTACACAGACGAGCCGGCAAAGCAAGGAGAGCGCCAGAAGAAAGGGCCCTAGCCAGCGGGGCCCAGCCAGGACAAAAGGAGGTCCCACAAAGCGCCTACACCGGCCGCATTTGCGGGGTAGACGACGGATGGGGCCCACCTACGAAGGCTGTCCAGGCCTACACGAGATGAGGCAGGATAAAGAGGGATAATCTCCCTCGATCCCAAATCATTGAGGCCAATTTCTAGCCATGGAATAATGGCGCGAGTTAGTAAATGACAATTTTTGGACATATTTTTTAAGAAAAAATTTTATCGAAAAAAAATTATAATAAAATGTTGATTATTTCAATCCCTTACAAAAATGCTTCAGGGTTGAAAAATTACAGAAAATGTAGTTTTTTTTGACAGATAATGTTCATCAAGTTTGTTTTTTTTAGCTTGAAATACATGGAAGATAAAAAAGAAAAACTTTATTTTTAATTGTTGGAGGGGCGTAACTTTTCAGGGGAGTTTTTCCAACAAATTTTATACCAAAGACCCCTATTAATTTTTCTCAGAGAATTGCCCCTTATATTTTTTCGGTGTTATTTAGATACACCCTGTATAATTAATAATATTTAATCAATATTTAATCAATAACATTTAATCAATAGAGCCTAGACATGTCTAAGAAATACCAATTAAGTGGCAAATAGTATTACTCAAAGTTAACATTTATTCTAGTTCTGTGGTACTGTTTTATTTTATTTTGCATGGTTTAATTATTTTAGCCAAATCGGTTAAGTCGTTCTCAAGTGCTTACCAACGAACAGCATTTAATTTTTATTTATAGATATGTAGATAGATAGTTAATTAAACAAAAATTTTGTTGTTGTTGGCCTGTAATTTTTAGGAAGCAAAATAGTATTAAGGTGACTTGATCTAGATTAATTTGTTTTTATCTATAAAAATCCATAGCCAATTCACCCTATATCCTTAACTTGACAATAGCAACACATCACTTTGCATAGCATTGATCATATGTTGTCAATTACAGTATTATTTTTATTGTTTTTTTGTATGTGTAATTTTTAAATGGTTTATTGATTTTTTTATATTTTACTTCAGGCAAGAGAAATGTGAATCAGGTTTTTACAAATCAGTAAAAAATGTCAAAGAGCAATGTGTAGACGTTGAAAGCATTTACATGGAGCCAAGGAAATTCAAAGATAAATTACTGAAGAAAAAGAAAACTAAAAATGTTAAAGAAACCGCTCTTGAATGTCACGATGAAATTAAGTCAGTGGGTATGAATATTAAAAATGTACTTTAAAGTTTCTCTCAATTTCCTAAATTAGAAATGTTTGTCTTAAAATAAATTCTATGCAGGATCAGGCTTAAAAGTGTATTTTAGGAGCAAGTTTTTCATGGTTTTACTCTGATTTTATAATCCACATATTTTAATTATGACCATCTGTTGCTGAGTGACTGTAACGACCTGTTTAATTTAAATAATCAAGACATTAAGACATAATTTTGTTTGAAATTGACTAGGGTCATTTCTCATTTTTGTTTTTTTTTTATTTGTTTCAATTCAACATGTTTCAAAATAGCTATATCTTTTGCCTAATTTTATCTTGTTAAAATTATAGGTTCTCTAAAAATTTAGTTATTTTACAACTCTCGTTTCCATGAATACTTCACATACGTTTAGATTTACAATTTGATTTATTATAAATTGAGAATATTCCGTACCCATTATTTCCTCCAGTGAGTCTTCTTATTTTTTCACAATTGTTTTCCATATCCACAGGGTGCGGCATTTGTGCGTCGAAGTACCATATCTCCGTTATTATAGAAGATATCAAAAAAGTTATTTACAAAAATTGTAGCCAACTTAAAACTGCACATTTTAAGACTATTTTCGTATATATACAGCGTGTTACGTATTACCAGGGTGAACCAAACATACTATTTTTTAATGGGACACCCTATATATTATTTCAAATTTAGATTAAACTCCTCTCTCCCATGCTGCCAATATAGTTATATTATAGTATTTTTAAAAAATTCCTATTATAACAAGTTGTCTGTGGGAAAATGACAGTGTGACAAATTGTTATAAAAAAAAAACAAAATATCAGTTATTAAGTTTCTTATAAAATTAATTAACTTTATAGCAAATACAAAAATAAAATATGTAGCTTAACAATGTGTAAAAAAATTGAGAAAATTATGTGCTCGTTTTGGAACGTCCTATATTCAACTGTCTCAATAATAAAGAAATAGCACTTTCTCGTAAAACTACCAATATTAAAAAGTTATGCCTGCAAAAAATTATTGTTAAGTTAATCTGTCTAGGGTGTACAGGACACTGAAATGGGAATGATTCTCATATAAAATGGATGCTAACCTTTGAAATACCCTGTATAATATAATTAAACCCTATATTGGAAGCATGGGAGAGATGAGTTTAATCTAAATTTGAAATAATATATAGGGTGTCCAATTTAAAAAATAGTATGTTCTGTTAACCCTGGTAATACATAACACCCTGTATATGCGAAAAAAATTTTAAAATGAGTAGTTTTAAGTTTGCTAAAATTTTTGTAAATAACTTTTTTTGGTATCTTTAATACTAACGTAGATATCGTACTGCAACACACTAATAGCACACCCTGTATGTTTTCCTTAGGATATACAGGGTGTTTGGAAAAGTTGGTACAAAATTTAAGGGGGTGAAAGTAGAGCCAAAAATAATAAAAAAGTTCCTATAAACATTGGTCCTCCCGAGCACCGTTACTGAGATAAGGCTCTCCAAAAGGATCTTATCATTTGGATATTTTTTAAAATAACTTTCCTTCTGATTAAGACAATGAAATTAAAATTGTAGGTAATAATCATACCATAAGGGTCTTTAACTACCATATGTTTCATTAAAATCGGTTATAAATAAGGATAGTTTTGTAACTACTCTTAACAGAAATTTTTCGAATTTTTTTTATTCCTTTGAATTATCTAGCAAATAATATTATTTTTTATTGACTTTTTTGAAGAAAAAATGTATCTACTTTTTTTTGGAATTCTGCGTAGTTTAGTCAAAAATAATTATTTTTTAAATAATGTATGGCTCAGAACAGTAAGTCTTTTTAACATTTTCACATAGTAGGCGCCTTTTATAGTGACAGTTTCTTTGTAATGATACTAATGATTGTCACTTTCTCGTGCTATGATTTAAATTCCTATGTTTCTTTATTTTCTTAGTTGTGATCTTTGTGCTCAATTTCGCATTTCATTTGATTTTTTTCAGATACTTTTACTAAACGTGAATATGCCGATACTCTCTTTTAGTCGCCAGACTATTTCCATTACTATAAATTAAATGCATATCGGCATATTCACCATTAGTAGAATAATGGTTCATGGTTGTAAAAAAATCGAATGAAATGCAAAGTTGGGAACAAAGATCACATGATCACAACTAAGAAAATAAAGAAACAGAAGAATTTAAATCATAGCACGCGAAAGTGACAATCATTAGTATCATTACAAAGAAACTGTCACTATAAAAGACGCCTACTATGTGAAAATGTTAAAAAAAGTTACTGTTTTGAGCCATACATTATTTAAAAAATAATTATTTCTGATTAAACTACACAGAATTCGAAAAAAAAAAAGTAGGGACCTTTTTTCTCCAAAAAAGTCCAATTCATTAAAAAATAATATAATTTGCTTGATAATTCAAAGGAGTAAAAAAAAATTCAAAAATTTTCTGTTAAGAGTAGTTACAAAACAACTATCCTTATTTATAACCGATTTTGATGAAACTTATGGTAGTTAAAGACCCTTATGGTATAATTATTACCTACAATTTTCATTTCGTTATCTTAATCAGAAAGAAAGTCATTTTAAAAAATATCCAAATGATAAGACCCCTTTGGAGGACCATATCTCAGTAACAGTGCTCCAGAGGACCAACGTTTATAGGAACTTTTTTACTACTTTTGACTCTACTTTCACCCCCTTAAATTTTGTACCAACTTTTCCAAACACCCTGTACACATAAGATATACACACTGAGGTCCCCCAAATTGATCTGTGATAAAATATAATGATAATGGATTAAGACGATACTGCATCTGATATACTCTATAGCACTATTGTACAAGATCCAATAGTAAGTGTATACGTTCGGATATACGTATATACATATAGATAATATATACCAGGAATCCCAAAAATTATTGACAGGCACATAGGGGTAGAATTCTGAGACGAAAAGTATTTTTGTCTGACACATACTTAATTAGTTAAGAATTAAGGAGGTTCGATACAGAAAAAAAAATAGTAAGAAAGTTTTCAAAGCAACTGAAATCTTTAATAAATATGCAAACTGCTTCGTGTAAAAATATCAGATAGATTGCCAATGGTTTTTTTGAAAAATGATATTAAAAATTATACTTTTATACACAGGCTCTTATGGGAGTTGGGGCAAAAACTTTAATCAAACGTGAATATTGCTCTTAAAAATGGTTAGGATCGGGAAAATAAAATTGTAATTAAAGAACTAAATATTACTAATCATTTTAAAACAATAAAAATATGCACTTACAATGCAGTTATTGAGATAATGGAATGAATAGATAACGTTTTGACAAATTTGAACAAACATCTGATCCAATAAAATGAAATGTGGCAACATTATACGCTGTATTTAATGCTCCGACTGACACGCTATATTTGATTAGCTCGATTATAGACTATAAAATTATTCTAGTCGAAAACATAATGTAGTAATAAGTAAATAATTTTTTCGTGATCTAATGCAATATAATAGCAATTTGAAACAAAAATTGAAAGGATCTCTTTGTAAAACAAACAGTATAGATCAGGGGTCGGCAAGTAATTTTAGGTGGGGTCCGGATACTTTTGAAAATTTTGAACGAGGTCCAGAAAAAAATTCATATTTCTTATTTTTTTATTTTAATTTGGACTCAAATTTAATCTGCTTACTAATTAAGAACTCAAAACACTCACACAATTGTAAAATACTACAAAAAATGATAAGATTGACACTTAAACGTAAAAAACATTTTTTAAATAATTTATTTGAGTAATTTATACTTTAAAAAAATTTTTGGCGGTCCAGTAATCTACCTTCCGCGGTCCGCCAGTTGCCGACCCTTGGTATAGATGTTCTGTCATAATTTTCAATTTGACAAGGCTACGTATCATTACAATACACTGAGCTTCTTGATCGTTATCATATAGATTTTTAGTTTGCACATTTTACTTTTTTCTCATCAATCCACATTCTGTTTCATACGCCTTTTATATTACTTTTCAGTCATTACTTTTCCTTTGTAGCTTGGATGTTCATTCATGTTTACGGTATATGCGCCAAGCACAGTTGACACTTGACACCACACTGATGTGCAATGTTGCCAGATTTCGCCCATAATTTTACAAGCTCTTAATGAATAAATAGAAATTTTTATTCAAATAAAAAGTTAATTGCCGTGCATTAAACACGAAAAATATATGCGAGCTAATATGTGTTGTATAAATTTCATACGAAACTCCCATGTATAAGCATAGACTTCCCTCCCGCACCGCCTGCCCCGTAAGAGATCTATCGAACCTCCTTAAATAAGGTACGCTGTAAGGAAATGCCGGTGGACTTTTCATCGCAGAATTCCACCCTCTTTCTACTCCTATGTGTCTGTCAACTACTTTTTCGGACACCCTATGTACACATATCTACAGGGTGTCCGGAAATTACATGTACAATGGTAGATTACAGACTCAAAATAGATCCTCGACTCAAAATAAGTAGATTATGCCCACTTTACCTATTTCCAAAATTGCTCCGTTTAGCCGCTAGAGGACGCCAAAATTCGATAAAAATTTTGTGTTTATTTTGAATATCTTGAAAATGACTATCGATTTTGTCCATTTTGGGGTTACAGAGTTAGGACTTTAATTGACGTGTTTTAATGTCATTTAGAATCATTTTCAATTCCTACAAATATAACAAAAATCAGATAGGTACCATATAAATATAATCACATATTTTTTTATTCCTTTCTACAATAACTCCCAATTTTTTTGTTGCTAGCTGACTTTGTTTAGAAATTTTTTTCACTCTAGCAAAATTTTGATCAGATGAGTAGTTCAGGCAGAAAAAATTAATTTTCGTAAGTCTGCATCATAATTCATTGTGCAACAAATAGCGAAGTAGGTATCAGAAGTTAATTATATTTTGAGGATAAACTGAGAGAGGTTCCTTCTTTATAAGTACTCAATATTTACAAATTTTCAGATACTTTTGTTCATATAACTTTGAAAAGAATAACAAAACAACAGTTTCCCTAAGCTTAAACTTCAGTTATGACCGATATCGACACAATTCGGAAATTTAGAAGAGGCATAGACTCTTACACTTTTTCTCCAACACTGAATGTTTTCTTGTCGTTGTATCATGGCTTCATTCACGATTCTCTGGTAGGTATCTGCCTTCCAATCTAGTTCTGATTATTCTTCTATTGGCTTGAAACAGGAATATCTGCATACAGATCGCAGGTCGTGTGATATTAGAATCAGATGTTTGCTGGACTTTTAAATAATGAGGGAATAAGAGACATCAATTTTTGTGTCAAAATTTGTCCCACCAAATTTTTCTGTTAAACCCACCCCCTGCCTACTACCTTTTTATTTTACTTAATCCACAGCTTACTAAATAATTATAATAATTATGTGTTATCTGCAAAATGGCCGTCACAACTGTTAAAAAATGTGCATGGTTAAGAGAAAGAGGCTCAAGGCTCTGATTTATGTTTAATTTAACAAACAACACTAGATTAACGAACAAAACGAAGCAATATAACATTTAGAGTAAATGTTCAAAGTGGCCACAGTTTTCTTGTACCTATGTAAGAATTAACGCATTTTACGAAATTGTAATGAAGCTTCTGCGTGGTTCCTGGGTTACCTCATAAAGTGTTAGTTGCATTTTGGATTTTCCTGAATAATTCCTCTTCATTATTAACAGTAGAAATACTGACGGACAAATATTGTAAAGTGGAGGGTGCTCCATCGTGCATAAACCACATGTTACGATGGAGTAATAAGGGTAAATCATCCAATAAATTAGGTAACACTAATACTAAAAAATTTAAATAGTTTTCCCCATTTAACCGATGAGGAAGCACAACAGAACCAATAATAAAATTGTCAATAATTCCCGTCCATACATTTACTCTGAAATCACGCTGAAAATGCTATATTTCAGTAGAGTGTGGATTTTCATCTACGTGTTGGTTATGGGTGTTGCCAATTCCTAGTGTGAAACAGGCGTTGTCAGTAAATAAAATATTTTTACTAATGTTGACATCTTAGGCCCTCTGATTTTGTATAAAATGATAAAATGCTAGACGTCTTTCAATGGATAGTAATTCATGTACTGATTGACTGTGTAGTAGTTACTACACAGAGCAGTTGCTCTTTCAAAATGTGTGCAATAAGTGCGGTAAGTTGTCTATTGCCAACAATAGACAACCGCTCGAATTGTATATAATATTTTTTATTACGAATGCATTGAAATCTTAGAGTCCAGGAGCGAAGCCCCGGTGGGGTCCACATATTTTTATCCAGTTTAAGTTGACATAAATAACTGTCATTTAAATGTCACTTTTTAAAAACAATATTTTCCTGTGTATTTAAATTTTGCATGTTTTATTGGTAATTCGCGTGCGACAAGTAGAGTGGGCAAACAGCTAATTACCGACCTAAAAAACATGCGAAAAGATAGGACTTATCCGTCATGAGTAATAAAAAAAAAAGTTTCTACATAAAGTCAGCCAGTGTAAAAAAAAATTAAATGGGAGTACAGGGAAATAAAAATAATATGTGGTTATGTTTTTTTTTTTAATATCTGTAGGGATTGAAAATGATTCTAAATAACGTTAAAATACGTTAGTTAAAGACCTAACTCTGTAACCTGGTGAAAATCGATAGTCATTTTTGAGATATTCAGAATAAACAAAAATTTGTATCGGTTTTTGGCGTGCTCTAGTAGTCTAGCGGCTAAACGGAGCAATTTTGGAAAAATGTAGGTAAATTGGGCCCAATCTACTTATTTTGGGTCAAGGAGTATGTGATTTTCTGTTGTACACAGAATTTCCAGACACCCTGTATATATTATTTTTTCACTCTAGGAAAGAGATCAGCAGTATTAATACCAAATGTCATTGAGGATAATTTTGAAACGTGGCAAGAAAGTGATAGTGAAGATGATATTGAAATAGTGGAAACAATAAAACCTGTTGGTAAGTTTTTTATATCAATATAATTATTAATATAATATAATAATTTATATTTATGATGCGAAAACATCTTAAAATCAAAAGCATTTGTTGATTTATGCAAAAATGTAATTGACAAGGAAAAATATATTGAGGAAACATAATACAATTAACATTTTTAAGTATCTCATTTTTTATTGAAAAGTTTCTTTATGTTTGTTGACATATTTACATTCATTGGAAAAGCTGTTTTAAATGTTCAAATACAGATTTAAAAGCTAAAGATAAACACATATACATGAATTGTTTACGGATGAGGCAGGGTTTTATCCGGGTCGGAATAATGAATTCCCATAATTTACATGCATGGTGTAATGAAAACCCTCATTTAGTTATTCAAGGCAAACACCAGCAAAGATTCATAGTGGCAGGAATAATCGGTAACCAATTAATAGGCCCCTTTTTCTTACCGGATAGATTAAACGGTGCCCGATATTTGAATTTTTTACAACACAATCTAAATCTACTGCTAGAAAATGTGCCATTGCAAACAAAACAGGAGATGTATTTCATGCATGATGAGGCCTGCTCTACTTCAGTCATGAAGTTAGAAATTACCTCAACGTAACATTTGGTGATAGGTGGATTGGGCGAGGCGGACCACACTTATGGGCACCTAGGTCACCAGATCTTAACCCCCTTGACTACTTCTTGTGGGGGTTACCTAAAAGAATAGGTGTATTCAACTCCGGTTTATAGAAGAGAAGGTTGATGGCAAGAATAGAACATCATTGTAATGAAATTAAATAGAATCCACAAATACTATTTAGAGTGCAACAAAATAATCTTAAAAGAATAAGGAAGTGCATTGAACTAGATGAAGGACATATCGAGCATTTACTGAAGTAACCTCTTTTAATCCATATGTTTCATTCTTAACTTTTTTCTGTTGCGTTGTGCCCCCGGTTGTGGCTATACACAAAATACAAAAATTTCATAATCTTGACAACCGTTAATTTTTTCATAAGTCATGAAGTATACCTTTTTTGTACAAAAGTAACAAAGCTATCCGCCTACGAGGGCGAAATATCAAATTTGACAGCTCTGTCAAAGTTGCGTAAATTTTAGAACATAATTTCCACCGTCCTTGCATAATAAAAAATATTTGATTCAATTTTAAATGTACAAAGATACATTTGAATAAGTTGCTGTGATCCCCAAAATTTCAAGTTAATCAAAATAACCCTTTAGAAATTATGGGCAATATTCATTATTCAACTTCTTACTTTGAGTGACAATAACTCCTCAACAATGGCACCTAGGTAAAAGTTTATATGAAGTATTAGCACTCGTTTGACCTGCTCTATATAACCCTTAATTTTTCCCTGTGGTTACCGGACACCCTGTAGATAAAGTTCCAGTAAATAAAATATAAAATATAATTACAAAAATTTTATGATTTTAAAAGATCAAATTTAAGCATTGAAACTACAAACTGTACAATATTTGTTGAGATAGAAAGAGAATTATCGGAACTACTGTAACAATTTACCGTGACAGGGGTGTGTCTTGAAGTTTTCTGCCAATGTCTTTTTACCTCAGGTCTCGAATGCGGTAAATTCCAAGAAAGAGATGAAGGGGTCTTCTTGGAATTCTATTTCAACAAATATCGTACGGACTGTATAATGGAATTACTTACCATGTTTATAAAAATATGTTTTCAATCGAAAGATGATTTTTATTAACATATCCTCAGAATGGCTATGGGGATTTTTCCTATCCCCCATATACAGAATACATACAAATTTTGAAAAAAAAAGAATGTAATAAAAAAAAACTATGATCTGGTGGAAATATGTGGAAGATGTTTTCTCAATTTGACTCAATTTTTTAATTGAGTAAATTCACTTTGAATACTAAAAAACAAATTTAAACTGTCAAAAATAATCAAAAATGAAGTCAGTATAAGTTAAGACGAAAATATATTGATATTTGAAATGTCAACATTTTGAAGTGTGCGACGCGATGCAATGTAATGTGTGTTTTGTATTTTGCCATTTTTTCAATGTGAAATTTGGATAAGGTATTTTCATAAAAAAATAACCCTTGACTGATTCTTTTGGTATAGGGGTATTTCCACGGCCCTCTTTTTATTTATTTGAGGTCTGTTCCCCTCTTTTGTCTAGTTTTTGAAAGTGAAGTGTTGTATCTGTGGCTGGTGGCATTTGGCTACTGTTGTTGACAATATTTGCAGGAATGATTTGGCCATCTTGGAGCAATGGAAGCCAACAGAGCGGTCCTTTGGGGTGCCCTGTTGTTTGGATTTGGTCTCAACTGATCGTTTTGATTCTGACTGTAGTCTGATGTAGTAGTACATCTGTCCAAGTGGGACTAGTTATATTGTTTCGATTGGTACCAATCTCTCCGATCATACCTTTTTCACTTCCCTTAAGTCATCTTCTATCTTGGTAACAGTTCTGATAAAATCTTTATAGTCTCTAAATCATTCGGTGTGCAGATGGGAATGCAGATCGGGCTCTAGTTGGTCGAATAAAATTGTGGACATGATTCAGCACAGTGTTATTGGTATCAGACAGTCGCACATGTGATGTTTGCGAGTTGAAAATATTGGCGATAGCTCTTGTAGTCTGGTTTTCTTCACATAACTTGGCTAATCACTGCAATGAGTTTATGGGGATTTATATTGCTTTACGAACGTTGTTTCTAGCTCGCTGTATCTATTTACTAAGTATATGCTGTTATCAAAACCATCGCTGTACTTCGGCATGTAGTTGCTCGTTGAATACCTCGATGCGATCTTTTATGGTCTCTGTGTAAAATGTATTAGATCACCCTGTATTTTGTATACCTTGATTGTTTGACTTCATTAGATAGAATTTTAAAAAATTGAATTTCTTTATTCTTTCAATTAACTTAATACTTTTAGAATAAAGGATTGTCATAACATTCCTAGAAGTGAATAATTGTAAACTTATTGCTAGGTAAATCTGTGGCAAAAGCTGGAACAGTTACAAGAAAGTAATAGTTTCAAAATAATTTTGCAACATATACAAATTTATTTTTGTAATAATAATATTTTTTGTACTGTAATTTTTTGAAGCATTTGTCAATACTTTTATAACATACTGAGAACATTATTCTACCACAACTTAGAAAAATTCTTTTCAACAACACTCATTTATTAATTTTTGTTTTTCATTCATCGCAAGTTCCTGCAACTTACCGCAAAAAATAGAATTATTCAAAAAACAAAAAAAAATCATCTAGTGTGACACTTCTGGCAAAAATGAGATTATGCCGACAAAGTATATGTTGGATTCATGTGTACATCAAAATTATTAATCCAACTTTTGAGGTTTTATGTACTTCATTGATTTGTTTTTCAGTTGACATCACCATCGACAACTCTGAAAGCGAAGAAGATGTAGTACTGGTTCTAAATGCGGACAATAAAACTTGTAACAAGAAAAAACTTAGAAGTTAATAATTTTTAATGTATTTTATTGAAATATACTTACAACAAAAAAAAATTAAAAAATTAAATGTATATATATATATAAACAATAAATAAACATGTAATTACTGGATTGTTTTATTCTTAACTGTTCCCTTTGTTTTTCACATCTCAGTTTGTGTCATTGTTTATCCCATTCTTCTGATCTAATTTGTTTGCATTTGTTTTTACAGTATAGATGAAAAATGTTACAACTTCCTTTTCCTTCACAGGTATTGTCTTAAAGTGTTTCATTAGAGTCTAAAATAAAAATATAAATCAAAACCATTGCTGATAAATAATGGAGAACAAAAGACTTTAATATACAAATAATTTATTTATAAAAAAATATGATAAATAGTACAGTATAAGTATTAGACCTATATAATTCGCAAAATAAAAAAAAAATCGATTTGTACTGATTAATCGAATTGTATAATTTTATTTGAATTGAATCTCGATTAATTCTGTGCAATAAATTGATGTATCGATTCGAATTGATTTGTATTTTTGAATCAATCCATCAAAAAAATCAAACTGAAATATCGAATGGCTGATTAATTTGAATCGAACTAAACTGAATCGGAACATCTAATTGTCGAGTTAAATTAATTTGAAGTTAGGCGTGAAAAAAAATTGTATATCGATTTGAGTCAATTCGTATTTTTAAATCGAATAATTCTACTAAAATGAGGGAATATTTAATTGTAATAACTCAATAAAACATTGATGTGTTTGTTACCAAATATTCATTTTAACAAATGAAAAGGAAAAATTAAATTGTGGTAGTGAAGCTTCTTCATGAAAAATGTGGAATTATATAGTGTTAAATAATAAAACTTATATCAAATTGAAGCTTATTAATTGGACTCATAGTAATAGTGAATGTGAAATGTGAAAATTACTTTGTGGATAATTGCAAAATATTAGTATACCTTTGAACTAATTGATGTAAAGACAAAAAAACTGAAAAACCTATGGTAGTTTTAATACAACCATATACAGGGTGTTAATGAACTTATGTCAAAAATTTAAAGGGGTGAAAAAGGAGCAAAAACTGAGTTAATTGATGTTACAAACTTGTATTGGAAGTTTAAGGTCATAGACGAAAAAGCTAATTAAAAATGTGTTTAAAACTGTTTTGGAACTGTTGAAATATATGTATTTTATCGCGGCGAGTACTTACAAAAAATTCTGTAATACTTTTTACAAGTTTGTAGATTTCTTATGAAGCTGGACTGTATTGTCAGTTTGTAATACATTGTTGTAGTGATTGCTGTACTGTTTTTCGAGAGTACATCTAATAGCCTTCTTACCAAATTTTCTATTGAAAATGACGCATTTATTTAGCAATCGTGAATATTATGATAATCTCGTACTTTACGGCGAAGCAAACGAAAATGCCCACAGAGCTTGTCAAGTGTACCATGCAAGATATCCTGAATGACGTGCCTCCACACCGCGAACATTTGTTGCTGCAGCGTAAAAAGTTTTGGACACCGGTGAAGTACAACCGCGTCGAGGTCACGCCAGTGGCCCAGGGCGACCACTAAGAATCTTCGTGTACTGTTGTGTGGCGGACATTACGAGAAGCTCAGCTGTACCCATTTCATATTCAACATGCAAGAAATCCCCTATTTACAGCACAAATACTTGTTATATATGATGCATGTTTCAGTCGAAATGGTGTACGTAACGTCCACAACACTCACTACTAGAATATCGAAAATCCACAGGAAATGCGTCATGGTGCCTTTCAGCAACAGTTTTCAGTGAACATGTGAGCCGGTTTCGTTAGGAACACTTTAATAGGACCTTTTGAATTGCCTAGACGCTTAGATGGTGCTTCATATCTAGATTTTTTGCAAAATCACTTGCCGGAGTTATTGGAAGATGTATCCTTAAATGTTCGGCAAAATATGTGGTTACTTTGCAAGACGGAGCCTCCGCTCACTTTTTTCGGAGAGTGTGCGACTTTCTAAACATAACTTTTCCCGATCGCTGCGTAGGCCGCAGCAGCCTAGTTAGATGGTGTTAGATGTGGTGTAAGTGTTGTGTATTCCACGGAAATTCGTGACATCGACCAACTGCGACATCGCATTGCCAAAGCTTGTAATATGATTCGAGAGGACGTGGCAATGTTGCAACGCGTGCGAGCGAATTGGATACGTCGCGCTGAAGCTTGTGTTCAAGGAAATGGAGGGTACATCGAACATCTATGAAAATCAGCAGTTCTCAAAAGATGGCTCCTTGCAATGTTGAGGTAAGTCAGATTTTCAAATTACATTTTATTCAACACAAATCCGTGTATTTACATCATTTTGACAACGGACATGTGACAAAAATATTTGACATAAGTTCATTAACACCCTGTTTTTATACAAGGGCTGTTTATGAATTTTTATAAATGAATTAGAAGACAGGTCAGGACCCTGGCCAACTGAAGATTTAATGTACCTAGGTAAATACTAATATAATTTTAAAATGTCATTTATATTAAAACCGCTGTATCTTTTCCATTGCGTCACAAGTAATATTCGTATGAACTAAGACGAAAAATCCTAGTCAAATTAGTCACTGTTTGTATATAAATGAAATGTCATCTTGACAATTCCCAAATCTGGATGTCTCGCAAATTTTAATACTGGTGTTACTGGATATGAAAATATGCAAAAAAAATCGATATTTCAACGCTCAGAAAATATATCCAATAGGTACCAACATGCGATCAAAACAACTGTTAAAATTATAATCTGACTGTCAACTGTGTTTTAAATGCGCTAGTCAAACTATAGACTAAAACTAATACCCAACAAACGTCTTCCATTTTCTTTCACTCAACGATTGTCTGTGATAGACTGAGACTATGAAGACATTTATGCCATCATTGTATCTCTTTTTGGCGTATAACAAATAATGAATTCACGTCCGCAACGACTGTCTTTGATATTAGGACACACTCGTGACGTAATGGCAATCTTAAAACGGTTCTACTATATTTGTATAAGATGTGCTAAAGGCTCGGAGGCAATACTGCAAATTGTGCTCAGATATTTCCAGCTCAGAAGAAAAATGCATTTTTATGCAGAAAAGAAAAATGCATTTTTCTGCAGAAAAGAAAAATGCTGTTCTATTGTCCCACCTGTTTGCCCAAAACTATTAAAAATGATACTGTTATTTGTGAAAATAATAGACTAATATAGGAAAGAAAGGAATTTTTGGAACAAACCAATGCAAATTTGGTGACCACGATTGAGAATGTAGTTACGAAGAGCATTATGTTATCTAATAGCAAACTTGTAACTGAAATACAAAATATGATATCTTAATAATTAGTAAAAGAATTGGTCTTGAAGGAGCTTACTAACCTAAAGGCGGAACTACAGATTAAAATAAATCATAAAAATCAAACTCAATTGGCTACAATGTTAAGACCTGATAAGGATAATAATGGTAGTAATAATAATAAGGCAACTACCTCCATAAGAGAAGTTCCAAACATAGAAGTAGGTTTGAAACAGAATAATCAAACGAACAGTACGAGTGTAACCTGGCCTTCTGTTTTATCAAATAAAGGTGCCATTCCTGGAGTTAAGAAGGCCACTACTACAAGAGTTGCTAAAGATATTGTACACACTCCAACATTTATTGAAAAAGCACATGTCGCCGAAGAAAAAGTTGTAAAAAAGAATTACCGTAGGGCCACTCAGAAAATAGGAACAAGTAGGAGAAATCTACCAAATGAAGATCTTTTCGGGGCAGCCCAACCCAAAATGGCATGGTTCTATATAGGAGATTAAAAATAAAAATGTTACGTGTGATCACTGGCTGCAATATCTCAAAGAAGATAATGACAGAGATCTTTTTTTGTGGAGAATTGAATAGTTTAGGTAATTTTTCATCATATAAAATAGGGGCGCCATTTCGCTTATTAGAGAAGTTAAATCAAGTAAATTATTGGCCAGAAGGAATAAGGCGCTTTAATTTTAATCGGAAATTAATAAATAAACAAGCTCTGAGTGCCAAAATTCAGAATAAGCAGACTACAACTCAGGGTGCTGAGGATTTTTTATAAATGGTGATATTGACTATTGTGAAGCAGAAATTACAGATAGTAAAAAAGAAACTAAAGTATGTCACTATTTTCTATCAAAATGTGCGAGGATTAAGGTCTAAAGTAAAAACTTTCTACAATAACATGCCATCCAACAACTTTATCATGTTACTGAAACTTGGCTCAATGCTTCAATCTATGACCAAGAACTTTGTGATGGGAGATATTTAATGTTTAGAAATGATAAGACAAGCTGGCGTTCAGCATGGAGGTGGAGTTCTATGTTGCATTAAGAAAAAATTTAAAGTGCTATCAGTGTGTCAGAGTAACGATATAAACTTTCTGTGGATAGCCATTAAATTGATGACTAATGATTTTACAGTGACAATTTGTTTGTTTATATTAAACCCGGGTCTAATCTAACAGTGTATGAAACATTTTTAGATCCCTTGGGAGTGATTAATGAGTTGTATTCAGATAATCTGTTCATCTTGGGTGATTTTAATGTGCCTGAAATAAACAATATGTGCTATGGCTGTGGAAACGGTCCATACAAGGTCAAAATTATTCAGTAGTTTTATTGATCTGTATATTGTCAATAATGTTAAATCGGGTAAACAACTTGCTCATAACTAATTTAACTGAGGCAAAAGTTTCTCACTCCAACACATCTCTCGTTGGAGTTGACCAATACCACCCTCCTTTAGAGATTGTTAATACTTTTGACTTCGTCGTTGACAGATATCCGGGTCGATTAACTGACAATAATTATAAGCGGAATTACAATTTCGGGAGAGGTGACTATTACTAATTATCTTCTTAGACTATGTACTTGGCAAGAAATCATTACGTCTGAAAATGTAAAAAATATGTGGATCAGTTTTATGATGGTTTATTTATGATGGATCAGTGTGTTGCTTACAAAAAATCTTATAAAGTCAATAATTAATTACCCTAAGTGGTTCACAGTGGAACTCATAAATAAAAAAAACTGAAACATCGTTTGTTTAAAAAATCCAAAAAATGTATAGAATCTGCGAGAAAGTTTTGCGAGTTATGAGGAGGTGAGGTGTGAAACAGCTCTTTGTAGGGGCTGTGAACAGGAAGACGAGATAGTATTGCATGTACTATGTGAATGCACTGCTGTCTCGTCAACAAGAGAGTCCATGTTGGGAGAACGCTGGCCTTCAATGGCCAATATTAGAGAGATCCCCCTGAGCAACGTCACCATCTTTTTCACTGTAATAGGCTGGCTGGCGGGTCGGGTGGATTGATCTCTCTAATGAGAGGAAGTACAAGGGGCCCAATGGGGTCTAAGTGCTGTAGCTTTGCTACCCTCCCCACAACTCCAGAACTCACTAAGTTGATTATCACAACTTACCACACACATTGTTAAACTCGAAAATGCCTAACTGTAAAATTATTCATTCTGCAAAAACAGAAAAAACTTCTATGCCGATGATTATTTGAATTTTTGACATATTTGTATTTAAGGAGAATCGGATGCTACGAAAAAATAGTCAATTTTGTTATTAAGATTGACTTTTGCAATGCGAAATCAAATTCTGTGAATTATTCTCGAATTATTTATTGATTCGTTTTTGTTTTTAATTAATACCAAAAATTTGAATATTTAACATAGGTTCTTATGGGAAATGCTATAATGCATACCTTTCAATCGAATTACGGATGAAAAATGCAAATAATAAGACGAAAAAAATATAGACATTTACCTGAATCATTAATAATTAATAGACGAGAGAAAAAAAGTAAGTTACCGCACATTTCACAGAAAAATAAATGATCAAACATAAAAAGTTCTAACTTGTCATCAATAGCAATAGAGTATGAATGAGGATAGGTGGTGGGAAATTTAAATAAACGTTTCCATACACAAATTAGTAATTAGAAATGGATTACATCCAACTTGTGTTTATTTGTGTTTGGAATTTGGAATAATAAAATAAAATTGGTATGTTTTTTGAAATCTTTATAAAAAACAATAAACTTTCCAATAGAAGAAGTAAAAAATACAGCAGCATATAATCGATGAAATATTTATACTTTACATCACAGCACATATAACAATCATGCATTTTGATAAATTATGACATTTAATATCATTTTTCATTTTAAAATTAACATTTCAATAATTTCATATTTTTTTAGAATATTTTTGGCTGAAATAACATCATATCACAGTATAAATACTACATATATAAAATTGTATTATACTTTCATAAATGCAATCGCTTTAAACCCTTGTGTTATAAGGAACATTTGTATTCGCAGAAGTGCATCATGCCCCCTCCCCAACCAATGAAGCGCCCGAGCCTTCTTTACTTATTCTCAATGTCACGAGCCACCACCTTTGTAACTTTTAATTTAAAGAAAATTAGTAAAGTTTTTGTAATGCTATAATTGTTTAACCTATTTTTTTTTTGTGGAGATGGAAAGACAACTCCAAAAATCTATATTTCTGTGATTGAATATTTTCAAAATATAATACTTAATTTAATTGTTAGGAAAAGAACACTTCTGGCATTCTTACAGTGTTTTCAACGACTTATTTGCACTCAGATATTTTATTTACACTAAGGATATTTTAATCCTTTATTATTAGAGTTGTTAGCACGGAACTAACATATATTTATAAGCAAATAAATTGAAAAATTTATAGATAAAAGGTAAAAAACTTACATCCGCTAACTGAGCTTTATTTAACCCTTGCCTCATTGGAACTTTGTAATGTCTTTTATATCGTCTTAATGTATTAACTTGAAGTTGATACAAATCTACTTCAGGAACATCCGTGTCAGTTTCATTCGAGTCATCTTCAGAATCTTTCCTTCGTCTTTTTGTTCTTGCACACTGAATGATCATTTTATGGAAATCACAGATGTATATATGTCTTACCTACAAAAAGATACTGCTAATATTGACTTTTTAAATTACAAATACTTCCACTAATCAGTTATAAAAAGTGAAAAAACATATTTTTTGTCATATCCAAATATTTTCACATTTATGTATAGTACAATCATAATTTTGAATCACTTAAATTTTCATTTAATTTTAATGCATAAATATTAATATTTTATTATATTAATAAAATAATAACAATGATAATGATCAGTTTCGCCTCTGAGACTGATTTCTTTCTCAACTATTTTAAAGTTTTTCTAAAGCTTGGATAATTTCGTTAACAACACTATTTTTGTGACGTGATATTTTTCTCCACTGGTACGATCTATCCACGTTTTATATTTACGACATCGCCTTCTGTTGCTCTAAAGGAGAAGAATGTTTAATGCCAATGTCGAGAAAGTCAAACATAGCTATTTAACGAGAAAGCAAAGTAAAGAAGAAGTAGTAAGGCCGTCAATTTTCATTTGAAACCTTTCCATAAGAAAAATATATCAATTTTAAAACAGATTTTTATACATAAGGTGTCTAAAAATTTGTAATGAAGCTCGAATGGTCCAGAGCCGTCTAAATATTTAAAAAATTATTTGACAAATGTTTTTTATGAAAAATTTTGTAGTGCTATTTTTTGAAAACCTGACATGGACCAACTTTTTTATTTGAAGTGATAAGACTAGTCTGACTAGTACTAATACTATGCAAAGTTGTATGAAATAACTTGATTAAGAAAAATTTACAAATAATTCTTTCCAATGTTGCCAGATTTCTGCAATAGCTACTGAAACGATACTTTTTTAAATGGCAACACTGTATTTTTTAAACAGAATTTGACAAACCTTCAAATTCTATGTAGACAATGTTATGTCACATTTCTTTATTGGAGTAATCATTTTAGAACAATCAGCAAAAACAACAAAAATAACCTGTAGTCGGCAGGAACTAAGAGAAGCTAACGTAGCAATAGTAGGTTTTGGAAATTAAACAAAAATTGTGTTGTTTGAAAGGAGCCATCGTTATTATGCTGCCATTGTGTTGACAGATGTTTATTTGAATGTGTATAAAAATATTTTAATTCAGTTGCTAAGATGATTTTGAGTCTTTTGCGGATCCTTGGGCACACACTACCAGTTGTTTTTAGTTTTATTAAGTTATGTCTTAAAAACTTTGGATTTTGAAGATGCTTATCAGGAAGTCTTGCGTGGAATTCAGCGCAGCGTAAACTTAAGCCACCAACATGTTATATAAACTGATACAGGTCCAAATCACAACAATGTTGATCCTCTCAGCAATCTGCCGACCCAGTACATATTGCCACAAACTGCTACTGCCCCACCGCTATGTTGCAGTCTATGCACAAAGCATTAACCTTAATTATTTGGACATAAAATCCAATTCTTTTAGTTCACCGTAAAATTCCCCAATTCATACGACACATTTTATGGACGGATGAAGCATTATTTACAAGAACATACACATATAATTTGCACAATATGTATATGTGGACTGAAGTAAACAAAAAAAAATATTATTTGGGGATTTGGGAAAATTTTTAATTAAAAATTGGTCCATTCATATTGCCTAGGAGACTATTTGGGAAATCTCACCTGCGGCTTTTAGGAAATTATTTAATAGAACTTCTTGAGGACATACCACGGATATTTGTCATTCCATGTATAATGGGACGCCACCTCATGGTATAGGTAGAGTTCTCCTAACAAGGTTAGGAGATGGTTACATCAGAACTATAATGGTAGGTGGATTGGAAGCGGATAGGACAGGACGCTCCAGTGCAATGGCCTGCTAGGATTTTTACTTTTGGAGTATCCTTAAATCCATTGCGTATACAACACCAGTGTAAAACTCTGAAGAACTTACAAATAAAATTATGGATGCTTACAAGAAATCAGGACTTTAGGTCAAACGCTAACAAGTGTACATTTTAATTTCTTAATGACGAGTGAATGAATGTATTTTTCAAACTGGAGGTTATATTGAACATTTATCTAAAGTTAATACAATTTCAATTAAAATTATTTTAAATTATATTTTTTTTTACTTCTTTTTTTAAGTTCAATAAACCAGTTTACACAATCCCCCTTTAATAGATTGTAACTTTTTAGGGAAGGCTCCAATTAAAAAAATTATCTATGCAACACCCTGCATATACACATAAAAGTCAACCACTAAATTGTATTTATATGGAAAATATTATTTTTCCAGTTTTCAAATTTTGTACTTTTTATCACTTTGTCCACTATTAAATATTTCTATTCCATCGCTTTTAAATAATGATTAAAATGAAAAACTGTGGGAGTAATTTGTCATACAAACTTCACTAATATTTGAGTTTTGGTAACCCTTGTCCCCTTGTTCTCTATCTCGTACATAAATTTTGGAAAGCAGTTTTCCCTTCTTGAATAAATGCCTGTGATGTTTTTCCTGTGAAATTGTACAATTTTTTTATATTGTGGGCTACTCTAAAAGATAGGTCATTTATACCTATGGATACAAAATTTAGAATGCGTTATTCTAAATTTGCGTTTGTCAACAAATATATCGACACTAGTTGTTAGAGGGCACGTTTGTTCAAAATTTTTATTTTTACATGAACGCATTTGTATGTTTTCATACCGACGCTCACAAACAGTTTTTATACAAGTGTTATATGTTTTTTTGTGTTTACAAACCTAATGACAGCTACCTTTGTATACTATAAGCATAATACTTACAGAATTATCGATGTTTAAATTTAATCTCCTCTGAGTAACTGTCTTCTGAATTCTTTTACTGTATGATGCGTTGCCGGCTGGTTTGCAACAACGTTCTCCGTTATCAATTAAACAACAAATTTGGTCAGTAGGGCCTCTTGAATCTTCCTCACCTGTACTGAAACCGTTCATTTGTACTTTTACATACGAATAACGACCCAAATCGGTGTTTTTCGTTGCATTTTATAAGTTACACGATTCGTCTTCGCAGATGAGAAATATTTTAGTTATAAATAAATAATTACTTTATTTTTCACATCAATATTTACAATATACAACACGGTGAACACGGAACGAGAACGATCATGGATTTGACAGTACACTATCTCTTACTCATAGACCTTATAAATAGAGGGCGGACAATAAGGGTTTTTTGGCGAGAAAACCGCTAATCCGGTTAACTATAGTTTGTTGCGGTTTGACGTCTTGGCGAGAAATGTAGTTAACCCGGTTTGGCACAGTTTCCCTAACCATCAAACCGGACTTATGGGTTGGTTTGGATCTTAAGTTAATATTTCTATCTATAAGGGTTTTTTGGCGAGAAAACCGCTAACCCGGTTAACTATAGTTTGTTGCGGTTTGACGTTTTGACGAGAAATGTAGTTAACCCGGTTTGGCAGAGTTTGCCTAACCATCAAACCGGACTTGTGGGTTGGTTTGGATCTTAAGTTAATATTTCTATCTTTATTTATTTTCTGTTTCGTACCATCGTACCTAGTCACTACTTCGTTTTTTTAGAGGTTTGGATAGGTATAAGTTGTAAATAAAAAAATTTGGAAATGAATCACTGCAAAAAATACAAAGTAATATTTAAAATTGATAATAAAAAAAATAGTAATCGAGGATCCAAATAACTAATCGTAGGTAGATATGCATTTTCTATATTGTACTGTATAGATTTTTATTAACTTTCTTTTAGACGATACATTTGCGTTGGAATAGATAATATTTGTGTACAAGGTAAACCCATTTTGATTTAATAACCATCTCGCGCCACGCGCCATTATTCCATGGCTAGAAATTGGCCTCAATGATTTGGGATCGAGGGGGATTATCCCTCTTTATCCTGCCTCATCTCGTGTAGGCCTGGACAGCCTTCGTAGGTGGGCCCCATCCGTCGTCTACCCCGACCGCAAATGCGGCCGGTGTAGGCGCTTTGTGGGACCTCCTTTTGTCCTNTGTGTGTGTGTGTGTGTGTGTGTGTGTGTGTGTGTGTGTGTGTGTGTGTGTGTGTGTGTGTGTGTGTGTGTGTGTGTGTGTGTGTGTGTGTGTGTGTGTGTGTGTGTGTGTGTGTGTGTGTGTGTGTGTGTGTGTGTGTGTGTGTGTGTGTGTGTGTGTGTGTGTGTGTGTGTGTGTGTGTGTGTGTGTGTGTGTGTGTGTGTGTGTGTGTGTGTGTGTGTGTGTGTGTGTGTGTGTGTGTGTGTGTGTGTGTGTGTGTGTGTGTGTGTGTGTGTGTGTGTGTGTGTGTGTGTGTGTGTGTGTGTGTGTGTGTGTGTGTGTGTGTGTGTGTGTGTGTGTGTGTGTGTGTGTGTGTGTGTGTGTGTGTGTGTGTGTGTGTGTGTGTGTGTGTGTGTGTGTGTGTGTGTGTGTGTGTGTGTGTGTGTGTGTGTGTGTGTGTGTGTGTGTGTGTGTGTGTGTGTGTGTGTGTGTGTGTGTGTGTGTGTGTGTGTGTGTGTGTGTGTGTGTGTGTGTGTGTGTGTGTGTGTGTGTGTGTGTGTGTGTGTGTGTGTGTGTGTGTGTGTGTGTGTGTGTGTGTGTGTGTGTGTGTGTGTGTGTGTGTGTGTGTGTGTGTGTGTGTGTGTGTGTGTGTGTGTGTGTGTGTGTGTGTGTGTGTGTGTGTGTGTGTGTGTGTGTGTGTGTGTGTGTGTGTGTGTGTGTGTGTGTGTGTGTGTGTGTGTGTGTGTGTGTGTGTGTGTGTGTGTGTGTGTGTGTGTGTGTGTGTGTGTGTGTGTGTGTGTGTGTGTGTGTGTGTGTGTGTGTGTGTGTGTGTGTGTGTGTGTGTGTGTGTGTGTGTGTGTGTGTGTGTGTGTGTGTGTGTGTGTGTGTGTGTGTGTGTGTGTGTGTGTGTGTGTGTGTGTGTGTGTGTGTGTGTGTGTGTGTGTGTGTGTGTGTGTGTGTGTGTGTGTGTGTGTGTGTGTGTGTGTGTGTGTGTGTGTGTGTGTGTGTGTGTGTGTGTGTGTGTGTGTGTGTGTGTGTGTGTGTGTGTGTGTGTGTGTGTGTGTGTGTGTGTGTGTGTGTGTGTGTGTGTGTGTGTGTGTGTGTGTGTGTGTGTGTGTGTGTGTGTGTGTGTGTGTGTGTGTGTGTGTGTGTGTGTGTGTGTGTGTGTGTGTGTGTGTGTGTGTGTGTGTGTGTGTGTGTGTGTGTGTGTGTGTGTGTGTGTGTGTGTGTGTGTGTGTGTGTGTGTGTGTGTGTGTGTGTGTGTGTGTGTGTGTGTGTGTGTGTGTGTGTGTGTGTGTGTGTGTGTGTGTGTGTGTGTGTGTGTGTGTGTGTGTGTGTGTGTGTGTGTGTGTGTGTGTGTGTGTGTGTGTGTGTGTGTGTGTGTGTGTGTGTGTGTGTGTGTGTGTGTGTGTGTGTGTGTGTGTGTGTGTGTGTGTGTGTGTGTGTGTGTGTGTGTGTGTGTGTGTGTGTGTGTGTGTGTGTGTGTGTGTGTGTGTGTGTGTGTGTGTGTGTGTGTGTGTGTGTGTGTGTGTGTGTGTGTGTGTGTGTGTGTGTGTGTGTGTGTGTGTGTGTGTGTGTGTGTGTGTGTGTGTGTGTGTGTGTGTGTGTGTGTGTGTGTGTGTGTGTGTGTGTGTGTGTGTGTGTGTGTGTGTGTGTGTGTGTGTGTGTGTGTGTGTGTGTGTGTGTGTGTGTGTGTGTGTGTGTGTGTGTGTGTGTGTGTGTGTGTGTGTGTGTGTGTGTGTGTGTGTGTGTGTGTGTGTGTGTGTGTGTGTGTGTGTGTGTGTGTGTGTGTGTGTGTGTGTGTGTGTGTGTGTGTGTGTGTGTGTGTGTGTGTGTGTGTGTGTGTGTGTGTGTGTGTGTGTGTGTGTGTGTGTGTGTGTGTGTGTGTGTGTGTGTGTGTGTGTGTGTGTGTGTGTGTGTGTGTGTGTGTGTGTGTGTGTGTGTGTGTGTGTGTGTGTGTGTGTGTGTGTGTGTGTGTGTGTGTGTGTGTGTGTGTGTGTGTGTGTGTGTGTGTGTGTGTGTGTGTGTGTGTGTGTGTGTGTGTGTGTGTGTGTGTGTGTGTGTGTGTGTGTGTGTGTGTGTGTGTGTGTGTGTGTGTGTGTGTGTGTGTGTGTGTGTGTGTGTGTGTGTGTGTGTGTGTGTGTGTGTGTGTGTGTGTGTGTGTGTGTGTGTGTGTGTGTGTGTGTGTGTGTGTGTGTGTGTGTGTGTGTGTGTGTGTGTGTGTGTGTGTGTGTGTGTGTGTGTGTGTGTGTGTGTGTGTGTGTGTGTGTGTGTGTGTGTGTGTGTGTGTGTGTGTGTGTGTGTGTGTGTGTGTGTGTGTGTGTGTGTGTGTGTGTGTGTGTGTGTGTGTGTGTGTGTGTGTGTGTGTGTGTGTGTGTGTGTGTGTGTGTGTGTGTGTGTGTGTGTGTGTGTGTGTGTGTGTGTGTGTGTGTGTGTGTGTGTGTGTGTGTGTGTGTGTGTGTGTGTGTGTGTGTGTGTGTGTGTGTGTGTGTGTGTGTGTGTGTGTGTGTGTGTGTGTGTGTGTGTGTGTGTGTGTGTGTGTGTGTGTGTGTGTGTGTGTGTGTGTGTGTGTGTGTGTGTGTGTGTGTGTGTGTGTGTGTGTGTGTGTGTGTGTGTGTGTGTGTGTGTGTGTGTGTGTGTGTGTGTGTGTGTGTGTGTGTGTGCGCGTGTGTGCGTGTGTGTGTGTGTTGTGTGTGTGTGTGTGTGTGTGTGTGTGTGGCTAAAATGCTTTTGTAACTACGCCACTTTGTTCCCATACCAAAAGTGGGGGGTGCGTGCACCGATCTGCGCGAATACCCCCACCACGCCAACTTATAATTCTGGTTGTTTTATCTTCTGTGGTCTGGCACTCTGTCGACACGTCGGGCCGCGCGCTCAGCCACTATCTCGAATTCCTCGTCTTCGTCGGGCAGCTGAGGCAGTCTACACTGCAGTTCCAGGCTGTCGGCGAAAGCCTCGGCCTTTTCCTGGTTCGTGTAAACCACCCCCACACTACCGTGGATTGGAGGAATTTTACGGCGAGCGGTCTGTCGCAGGGGCCTCTACGTCTTCCAGAGGCTGTTGTCTTGTGGATCCAGCGACTCCAGATGCCTAGCCCAGTTGACCTGGGCCAGTTCGCCCAGAGCCGCCTCCACCCGTCTGTTAAGTACGTTTAAGTCATGTCTGTGTCGGGGGAGGCGGGTGTGGGTGGCAAGCCGTTTCTGTCACGTATTAAGTTTTTTATGTCATCGGGGAGGGTACCCCGGGGGTTTGTGAGTCGGGGGACAATAGTCCCCGTCGTAGTCTGAGTCAGGGCGTTTTTAATGTCAGTCTCAAGGGAGAGGATTGCCGCCTCCAGATCATGGGTGGTTCCGATGACTGGGAGCGCGATGTTTCCTTGCATTACTGCTCGGAAGTGCTCCCAGTCAATGAACCTCCTCGTGAAGGTGCCTTCATATCTCTGTCTACGCCCCAGATCCAGAAATATTGGATTGTGGGCGGAAGACCCTTCGTATTGGGTGGATATTTAGGCATTTAACGGTATGGATTTTAAGAGAGCAATGTCGATGACGTCGGGGCGTCCTACGGGTCCGTAATGTGTCAGTTCTGTCAGAACTGTCCGAGTATCGTCAAGTCGTCGTGTCTGTATTGGTAATTCAGCACGACGCGACCTATTGTGGTCGTCGTCCCGCTGTGCCATATGAGGGACTTCGCGTTGAAGTCCCCGATGGCAATTGTCTGGGGCCAGGAAAGGATTTTGTCTAAGTCATTGTCAAGTAGTGGTAGTCTGGGCGGGTGGTAAGAGGACACCACCGCAACGTTTCCATGCCGTAGCGATCTCACCGCTATCGCCACGGCCTCTGTGTCTTGAATTTGGAGCCGCTGCAGCGGATAGTGGTCGATACTATGAGCGCAACACCACCCCCGTTACGGTTTCTGTCATGTCTGTATATGTCATAGTCAGGGATGTAGGTACGGGATGCCTCGCTGCCATAACGTCTATGTTTAGACGGTTCAAGATGTCCACGAGTTCCATTTTTTTGGCCCGGAACCCGTCAAGGTTCCAGGACGAAATTCTCAGCGAGGAGGGTTGGGAGGGCCGACGAGCCATTAGAAGTCGAAAATAATTTTTGCATATTCGACACCATGGTCGTCAGCTGGATG